AGGGGGTCTAAAAGGGGTAAATATTATATTGATCATTGGTGTCCAAGAATTTATAAGTCATGAGCATGGATTTTTCTTTTTATCTGATTTAGATTTTTAATTTTAATAAAATTTTAAGTATATAGGTGAATAACAAAAATTATAATTCTCTTTTACCAAATAATACTATCCTTTCAATTAAAGAGGTAACCTTATTTCCTAAATTATTTTTTCATTAATTTTAGTACAAATTTCAATATTTTATCCCACCAATAAAGGATTTGTAATAATTTATTTTTTCTATTATGCACCATCAAACCTATCATTGACCCTTAATCAATACAAAAATTTTAATGTGTCTCAAGTATATACTTTTCATTTTATCTGACTTTAGATTTTTATGAGTAAATTTTTACCCTAATTCTTGACATAATAATTTACTATGTTATTTATATATTTTTTAAATTAGCTATATTATTTTATATAGATAATCAATGAAGAATATAAATTCTTATATACCTAGGAATCCAATCTTTAAAAAAGATGTAACATTATTTTCTATTTATTTTAGGATGTCAATTTTAATTAAATCTCACAGAGGCAGAGAAAAGATCAAATTAAAAAATATATAATTTATATCTATAATTATATCCAAACAAAATGATTATATATTTATTTGCCTCTATTCTCATTTCCAAAAAGGTTTTATATTTTGTTTAATTATTATTTATTTCTATTTAAAATATTAATTTTTATCTTATAAAATGATGCAGATAACTTAAAAAATATAAATAACAGTAAATTATTATGTCACAAAAAATTAGGGTATAAATTTCTTATAAAAATCTAAAGTCTGATAAAATGAAAAATATATACCTAGTCACGAAAAATTTTGTTAAGGGTCAATGATAGGTTTACGTATCCTTTATTATTGTTAAGATATAATTGAAATAAAAATAAATGAATATTAAATTAAAAAAATATGGGAAATAAGGTTACCTCTTTTATTGAAAGGATAGGATTATTAGGTGAAAGAAAATTTGTATTTTTCATTGTTATTCATCTATATAGTTAAAATTTACATATAAAAATTAAAAATCTAAATAGTCAGATAAAAAGAAGAATCCATAACTCATAGATTCTTGAACTTGGTTAAGAGTCAATAGTAGGTTAGGCAGTGCTAAAGATTATATTTAGCCCATCAAGAATGATAGGGAATTCAAATTTTCTCCTTTATTCAATGATAGATAAATTAGAAATTTTCCTATTTTATGAGATCTTATTCAGAAATTTATATTTAATTAGATAAGAGGTTATTCTAAAATTTTTAATTATTTTTGATAATATGTTTATGAAATATTTTTTAGATTATAAATTGCAAATATATAAATAAAAATTTAGTTTAAATGATTTTTTATTGTGCACATAAATTAAAATTACTAAATAATTTACTTCATAAACATATTTTATAAAAAAAATGGAAAATTTTAGAATAACCCCTCATCTAAATAAATATAAATTCCTGAATTATCTCATAAGATATAAAAATTTATGATTCATCCATCATCAAATAAAGGAGAAAATTATGATTCCCCATCAATCTTAATGGGCTATCAGCTAGCTTAATATATAATGATATAAAATATTAAATTTATACATAAATTCAAGAATTAAAATAGTCTTTAAATAAATGTCTTATTTCTCTTGGTATTTGATGCATTTAAAATTCTACTGATCCCTAAATTTTCGGAATAGGTATAAGTGTGTATTCAATTTTATCATAATAAATAATATATTTTATAGGCATTTTCAACTGATAGCTTTAGAATGAATGGCAAACTTATCAGTAGTTATGCCAAATGTGTATTCAATCACTACTTTACTTACAATGTTTTTCTTCTGGACTGGTATTTTTCATAGGATATCATAGGTTTTTTAAGGAGAAGGCTAGATCAGACAATGATATTATTTGATACAAGTTTAGGAGGAGGAATAAAAAGTGTTTGATTTTCGAATTCTAAAATAATTAAAAATTATTAATAGTTATTAAAAATTTACTTTGATATAAAGTACTATTTCTGAAAGTGCCACCATCATTTTGTTTTCCATATATAAATTTGCAATTGCTATAAGCTAAACCAAGCAATTGATTTAAAGGATCTATAATTGTAAAAAAGGGTTCCAGATTTTGCAGGACTTATTATTTTTATGCGCTTATCATCTAATGAGCCAAGGCAATATGGAAATCCATGTTTCTCAAAATATTTTTGTGCAATCTAAAAATATATTAATATCTAAATTTATAATACTTTAATCCGCACATACTGCATCTAGACGAACACTCCCCTTGTCAAAACCTTGTACAACCTATAACACAACAAGAAATAATCACATGCCTCAAGCATATGAAAAACAACAAAGCTAGGGGTCCAGACGATATTCCAATAGAAAGCCTTAAAGCACTAGGAGATGATGGAATACATCTCCTCACAAATCTATACAATAAGATACTTGGAAATGAAGAGGTTCCCCAAAAATGGAGGCAGAGCTATCTAGTTCCTATCTTCAAAAATAAAGGGGATCCACATAATTATCAAAATTACAGGGGCATAAAACTAATATCACACTGTCTAAAACTATACGAAAAAATAATAGAAAAAAGATTAAGAGATATAATCGTAATAGGAGAGACTCAATTTGGCTTTATGCCTGGTAGATCAACAACCGATGCTATCCACGCAATTAGGCAAATGAGTGAAAAATACAGGGAAAAGAACAAAAAGCTACACATGGTCTTTCTCGATCTAGAAAAGGCCTTTGATAGAATCCCAAGAAAACTTATCTGGTGGGCGCTACGCCACAAAAATTTTCCCGAAAAATATATAAGAATAATACAGGATATGTATATGGGCCATACAACAATGGTCCGTAGCACAACAGGTACTTCAGCTCACAATAGCCGAAGGAGTTCATCAAGGGTCAGCTCTCAGCCCACTTCTCTTCATTACAGTAATAGATGTATTAGCACAGTCTATACCTCAAACAGTCCCGTGGAATATGATATTTGCAGATGATATTGTGATACTTGCCGAATCTAAGGATGAAATGAAAGAAAGACTAGTGAGTTGGATAAATATATATAGAAACGCACGGATTAAAAGTAAATAGAGAAAAGACGGAGTATATGGTGATAGGAGGAGATGAAACAGAGAGTATTGATATAAATGAATGGCAGATATCGGCAATTGAAAGCTGCAAATATTTGGGCTCCACTATACAAACAAACGGCACAATAGAAAAAGAGATAAAAAGTAAGATTAATCAAGGGTGGCTAAAGTAGAGATCTTTATCTGGAGTGCTATTTGATAAAAGAATCCCACACAAATTAAAGGGAAAAATTTACAGTTCCATAATACAACCAACTATTCTATATAGTTCGGAAACATGGCCAACCAAAGAATCAGACGAGAGAAGTCTACAAACCATGGAGATGAGAATGCTAAGGATGATTGCTGGGGTAACAAGAAAGGATAAAGTGCGCAGTACAAGAATACTAAGTAGTTTAAAGGTAGTGCCCATTAAGACTAAGTTAGTGGTAAATAGACTTAGGTGGTATGGGCACACAATGAGAAGGCCTATGAACTATATAGGAAATAAAGTTAAGAGTTTGGAAGTGATGGGCAAACGTAAAAGAGGAAGGCCAAAACTTCAATGGGGCCATAAAGTTAGAGCCAATATAAAGAAGTATAAATTAGATAAAAGAGATTGTATTAATAACATAAAGTGGAGAGAGATGTTGAAGGAGCTTACCAACAGAAAAGGTGAAAGCTAAAGACAAAAAAATAAATAATAATACCTTCTCCCAATGTTCTGTTGGAACTGGCATATGAATAGCTTTTAAAGTTTTCTATAGCATCACATACTGGAATGATGGTAACAATGCATTTTGCTCATTCTGCTTTTTAACTTGGTTTGTTTTTTTCATATTTTGGTAGTTGGGTCTTGTTGAAGAATTTAATTTATAAAAAATAATATAATTTTAAAAAAACTGAAAAAATTATATTTGATTGTTAGATCATTGCTTTGATATCTGAAGTGAATGAAATGGTAAGTGTATGAATGTTTTAATTTAGTATGATATTATCATTGGCCCGAATAAGGTATAAAGATTTTTATAGGACAAATATATTTAAAAGAATACTATTCGCTAAATTTGATTGACGTTTTTTGAGGATTATTAAAATAGATATAATTTTTAATTTAGAAATAATAGCCAGTTTATGTATTTTCCTCTTAAATATGAATCTAAATATAAAATGAAAATAAATATATTATTATATATTAAACAAAGTATGATGAATAATTTTGGAGCGATAATTGTGGTTTAGAAATGCTATAATTAAATTATTGCTTATAATTAAATTCTTTTAATGCCTAATATTTTTATAATAGATAATTTAATAAATATTCAAACAATAACTCAAAAAATTTTTTTTAATCTCCACTCATTGCTAAATTATATTCTTGTAGTGGTAAACATTTTTTGAACTCTAAAATAAATAAAAATCATCATGCAATCATAAAATAGCCATAATTTTTTTCAGTCGTAATATTTTGATGAAAATTCTTTATATAAGAAGTTTTTATATGAAAGTTAGAGAAATGTGACTGACAATTACTCCTAACAAATTTTAAAATATTGCTTATTTTTTATTCATATTCTTTATTATGAAAAATAAACATATTTGAAAATAAATAAGTTTCATAATGATCGAGAGACCTTTAGATGGCTCAAATTGATAATCAAAATATTAGGGTGAGGGTCATATTCATAAAATGTGAATCGTGTACGAATAATGAAAATTTATTTGAATCATTTTTTAAAAATTATAATCAATTTTTTTTATTTTAAATAATAAATATTTTTATTATACATACTAATAATAATAATAAGGAACTAAATCACTATTATTCATCGTCATTAAATGTCTGATAATTATAAAAATTTAACAATTTTGTAGGAAACAGATTTAAATGTTATAATAAATAACAGTCAAAATTATGAAATAACATTTTTGCTTGAACCTTTTATTCCGAACAATATTATGAATGTTTTAACACAATTTTATTATGCAAGAAAAAATATGAATAGTTATAAGGAATTGCGAAAGGAAGTTGTAAATTACTTATAAATTTAACAATGAATATATTATTTAGTGTTTCGATGATAATCACTTATTAAAAGATCAAACCCAAATTGTATCAAATCATATTACCTTATATGATAAAGAAAAACAACATATTGGTACTCAAACTGATGGGAATATCACTGAAAATCTGTTTTTTAAATGTAAATATATTTATTCATATATCTTTTCAGATACTCTTCTTTTTTATATTATTCTTATTATATAATGAAAACTTTATAAAAAAAATGATTATTAAATTTCTCGGGCTTTGTCTGGCATATTTTTAAAAATATTTCTACAGATATAATGATATATTAGGAAATCAAATAATATACCTAAAACGTTAAATTCCTACTAGAAAATGTGTAGAGAGACCTTTGATATTATTGATATATTTTTTTGATACAAGGTTAATCCTTTTTAAATCGTATTTTGATTTTATAGTTTTTACAAATAAATTTCGATTAGAGGGGTAAAGGTAGCTCCAAATAGAACTTTGGAAATTTTTGAATAGATCTCTCGGCTAAACCGTTAATAATTTTTTTATGATGGAAAAAGACATAATTTGTTTAATTCTAAGTTTTTATTAATTTTCCTTAATTCCAAACTGATCCTTAAAAATATTTTTACAAGTTACTCCACCCTCTACCAGCCAATCTTTAATGAATGGAATAGATAAGCAAAGAAAGACATTTGATGCTAGATTTTTGAGTAAAATTGACTTGAAATGTAAATGAAACAACATAAATTAAAGGGGTTTTCACAATATCTTCATAATTTTTATGTAAAATTAAATATTTAAACATTACACTTAGTTGTTTATTTTATTTTAAAGGTGTAAAAGATTGCATTGAACCAAATTTTCCATATGATCACAAAACGGAAGATATTATGAAATTGCAACATAAAGTTTGTTATATTTTTAAATATTGTTGCTTATAAATTTAATAAGATTGAATCGATAACTCGACTTTTATACATGATTGGAGGAAACGATCAGGTAGAAACAATTAAAAAATTATCAGAGTTATCTAAAGATGAAAATAGTTGTCAATTATTGAATAATTCAGGTTCGATATTTTTTATATTTTATTTTTTAAAAAAAGGCCTTTGTTCAGGAGTCACTTCTTGGCTAATAACCTTTATATACCAATTTGATATTGGAACCATATTTAATAAGGTTTTCCAAGACGTTGATCTAAATACTATAAACTATGATTGTACGAATTCCATTTCTCTCGCAAATGTAGCATTAAATGTTTGGTATGGGAGACAAGTCGATATTAACAAATTAGCTTGCATCGCCTTAAAAAATCTCGTTATATTAAAACCTAAAATTTGTTCGTCATTGTATAATCACAACAAAGGTACTCAAAAAATTATTGAGTTATTGAACCAATTAAATACTTATTTATACTTTTTGATTGAAATCATTGTCAAAATATCTAACCTTGTTTTCACGACTTATATCAAACATTCTGGTTTAAAAGTTAGTTTAATGTTTTTTTAATTAAATAAATTATTTTATTAAGCATGAAGAGATTTTGGTGGATACAAATTTTAGAGAACATCATGTAAATATTTATAGCGAATCGGATATTGATTTTATAGAAGGTGATAAAGTTTTAAATGACTATATTTTATATTTAATTACAGCTTCTAAAATGATTAATTCTGACATTGATATAAATGATAAGATAAATATAATAAAACCACCAGTTTCCGCGTTAACTTCTTTATTTAAACTATCATTTGATCAAGACAATAGAAATTCAATGATTGAATTGGGTAATACATTTTATTTCTTAATTTTATATTACTTTATTTGATAAGGCTGTACTTCTGCTTGTAGCTTGCTATATCAATTAGACTATTTTTTATTTAATCGTCCAATTGATAAGTCTGTTGATAGGAAGAAAGACAGAGGAATTCAGATGATACATGCTTGTGGAAATATATTTCATAAATTAAAATTTAATATTGTTGATGGGATCAAATGCTGTGTAAGGTATTGTGGTATGATTATTACAAATCTAACATTCAGTCATGACTCTGAGATTAACCATCTACTCTGTTCACAAAATTATTTTTTACGTGCATTACTAAATATCGCCCTTTCCAAGGATATTCATATGAAACAAGTTTAAAAAAATATTCATTTAATTATGATCATAAATTAATTAAAACATAATAATTACATTTATCGCTTTCAACTCATTAAATAATTTAACATATTTAAACTAAATCCAGTTATTTATCAATATCAGCCCCTCTTATTAAGAGTTGAACTAAGGCTGTAATGACTTTCTTTTTCTAAAGATAATTGATTAGTCTATATTTCCTAAAAGCAACTTGATGCTGGTTTTTATTGGGCTTTGAACATTGATTTACATTATAATTTATGGTTTTATATCCAACATTTAAATATATTTATAAAGGCTCATTTTTATTTTAATTTTTTATTTTTTTTAATAAAAGGTATTTATTTATTTCAAGAAAAATATTAACAGATTTCTATCGCAGAAATTTTTTTTAAAAAGAAGATCCTTTGAGAATGCTCAAATAAATTTTTTGATCAAATTTTACCTAAAATTTTAAATATTTTTGTAAAAAACCTTTCATAAGTAAATCGAATGTGATTTTTATGCAATTTCGATCTTTTTTATAGCAAATTTTTTATTTTTAAAAAGCCGTATTATTCCTATTTGTATTTATTTTTTAAAATTGAAACCTTTTAAAAGATAAAGCATTTACTACCATGGAAAATAAATTAAAAATTAAATACAAATATGAATAAAATAAAATATATTAAAAAAAAACAAATAAGAATATATTAAAAATTATATAAAAAAAAAATATATATAAATTTTATATAGAAAAACATTAAAAAGAACTTTAAAAAATTTAATTCGACACAAGTGTAGCCCCAGGTCTAGAGAACTGCAAAGTAATTTTTTCGCAACCCGAGCCCGAATTTAAAAAATTTTTTTGTCCAAGCCCGACCCGAGCCCGAGCACACATTTTTTAGTCCAACCCGACCAGAGCCCGACCCGAATAAAATTTTGCAATTTAAGTTTTAATATTATAATAACCAAAAAAAAATTTATGTGTATTTATTCAGTTCAGCCACCTTAAATAAAAGTTTATTTGACGGCCATAATCTATTCAAGATATATATTAAGTTGCATTTTATTAAATTTGTAAAAAATATTATAAAACGATTAATATACAAGCGAATTTAAAAATTATAACGATTATATAATACAATAAGCATCATTTACGCGAATATAGATATGATATAAAAGTTAATAAATATATAAAAAATATAATGAACATATTATATTATATTGACCTCATCAATATCATTATCAAAATTATCACAAAGTGAATAATTATGATATATAAATAAAGAGGCATCCAGTTTATCTGGCTTTAAACGAGTCCTTCTCTCCTCAAAGGCCCTACCAGTAGCTGAAAACGCCCTTTCACTGCTAGCCGACGAAGCAGGGATAGCCAGGAATTTAAGAGCTAAAATACTTAAATTTGGAAACTCATAATGGTTTGTTTTCCACCATTTTAAAATATCGTCATCAATACATAATTCGGATCTAGGTGTTTTTTTAGCTCGTCAACTTCGGCGCTAGCATCAGAATACGCATTGTCAGCCTCCCATAGAGAGAAGTCCAAAAACGTATCTACCACCTCTGTAGTTTCTTAAGAAAAAAATATTCATTAATATTAAGATATATATTTACTTTATTATTTTTTAATAAATAATTTTATTATTAATTTAATAAACCTTTATTTACTACTCTATCGGTTGAGCACGAGTTAGATGGTGAGTTGTTTAAAGACTTTTGCTCAATCACATCTCTGTTGATTTTCTCTGCATTAATCAACGTGTTGATATGTTGACACAAATCTTTATAATGTTCCCGGGATAACATTTTCATATCCCGAAATTTTGGGCACAAAAACGTCGAAATTTGGTGGAATAAATCTATTTTAAATTTATCCACCAATATTTTCCGGCATCTTAATGAAAGCTGGTTTACCTGATAGTAAGCTAGGATTAGCTAAAAAACTCAATATTTTATGATAACATAAAATAACTTTGTGAATAGTAGGTTTTAAATCACTCTCAAGTTCATCACTCGCAATTTTATAAGGCGTCAGAAACTTGATCAGATCCCTCATCATTTCAAAATCAATATTTTCAAGTCTAATCGACTCTCCTCTGGAATTGAGGATTTCCAATATGTCATTAAATTGATTAAAGATCGATTCAATCATATTCAACCTACTATTCCACCTAGTCTCAACACACATGTGGAGAGTTTTATCTAGGCGATTAACTAATCTAAAATGTAATGATATATTTTATTAAAAAGTTAATTTAACATACCCACTCTGTTTCATATACGTTACTAAACTTTTACAGTCATTAAAACATTGATTTATCTCCGAACAAGATTCAATATTTTTGTTATCAAAAGTATTTTTCAATACTGTATTTAATAGATGAGAAGCACAATTTAAACGCTTATGATTTTCAAAAGCTTTAATCATATTAGCTCCTTGGTCGGTAATAATTGGAATTTCCGATAAATAGGCCCTGCTGTATCCTGATACAAAGAATACATGGAATTTTTATAAATATTTTTAATGAAATCAATACCTAACAAGGTGAAATTTCTAATAATTTCCTTTTTGATATTTTCCCCTGTCTTTTTTTCCTCTTCAAATTTGCATGTAAACAATACATTTTTATTTAGTTTCCAGGAATCATTTATAAAATGAATTGTTAGAGTTACACATGATATTTTTTTATAATCATCAGTCCAAAGGTCTGTGGTGGCTATAAAAAATTATTAATAATTTAACCATATTTTCATAAATTTGTTACCAGCACATCGATCCTTTTTCATATATGAGTTTAATATAGGAAATAATTTATTGCAGATACCATCAGCAGTATCTACTGAATTTCTAGAAATTGTCGTAGGATTTGGAATGATGCTTTTAACATCAATATTTCCATATATTGAACCAATTTTGGCAAAATATTGGCAACAATCAACAAAACCTTCCCCATGAATTGTATCAAATGATCTCAAATCACGTCCACAAAACATAGTAAGCACCTTTACTCTTTTTTCAATTTTGTACAACTTTTGAGTTTTTTCGGATCAGTACTAAAAAGACTATCAATTGTTAATTGTGTCTTTTTACTCTCTGCTGTTGTACTTGTACTTGTATATACACATTTATGTCTTTTAAGTTGATTTGTGCCTAAAATAATTTAATAAGATCATATTTTATGTATAAATATCTAACCTGTTGTTATTGAATTATATACATAAATAAATTTGCATATAATACAAATGACATAATTAAGCTTTTCTTTATTTTAATCATATATAAATGAAAATTTCTTCCATACATCGGATTTTCCATTAAGATTCTCCCTTACTTCATACTCTTTTGTCTTAATCTTTTCACCAATTCTTTTTAATTTTGCATCCATTGAGATAATTTTTTTAATATGGCTGTGTCTAAAATCTAAAAAAAATATTTAAAATGACTTTAATCAATTAGATTGAAATAAACAGAGTTGGGCAGTACTGCGAATACTTGTATCTAAGATACATGATACAAGATCCCTTTATATCTTGTACTCAGTATATTTTGACATTTTTAATAAGATACTAATATCTGTATCTAAGATCCTTAATTCTGAAAAGAATCTTGTATCTTTTTCATTTTCTTGACAAAAGATACAGATACAGATTCTTTTTAATATTCATGTTTTAAATTTTACATATCACAGTATACATCTTATTTTCTTTGAGAATCTTGTATTAATTTCCTAATTTTTGTCTGCCATATTTTAAAATATTGACAACCAAAATTAGCTGGAAAATTTACAACTCATGTTAAGGTAGATAGATAAAAAAATAATAATACCAAAACGAAATAAGTAAAGATTATATTTTATATATAAATGTAACTTAGAATATCATTACCAATTTTATATAATATTTTTTAATTTCTAGGATGATTAACATTTATGGTAGTGAAATTTAAATTATAGAAATAAGTTCCCCTGAATCAAATCCCAATCTTAAATTTTATATGGAAATTTTTTAAAACAAATGTTAAAAAAGACAATGTATAGGCTAGATAAATAAATATTAAATAATGAATAAAACTTATCTTTAGTACATAAAATATGTCTTATCTTGTAATTCACGGGAAACACGCAATTTAGTGATAAAATAGTTTGGTATCCGGTTGTTAGGTTTATAAAATAATAATTAATAATGACATGACATGTTAATATGATTGACATTTTAATCCTAAAATGTGATAAATATTAAATAATATGATTTTATAATTAATATTATAAATTATTCTGACTATTTAAGGTATTAATATTATTATTTATTGTCGGGTCGGGTTTTCGGGTCGGACAGCTTTTATAACCCGACCCGAGCCCGAACCCGAGAAATTTTTTGTTGATGTCCAAACCCGACCCGGGGCTCCAATCGAGTCGGGTCGGGTCGGGCTACGGACAGCCCGTGCAGTTCTCTACCCAGGTCAGCGGGAAACAATGTTTATTTTGTTGATTTGTTATTGAATTCACTACAACAAAAGAGGTATATTAGTAGAATTTTTTACAATAATTTATGCTCCTGATTTAATGCGATGTTAAGAGTGATTTCATCTCCTCAACTATGATCATGGAAAAAACTGTGGATTTCAGTCAATCTTTTTATATTCTGAATGCAAAATATATAGTAGATAATGACTACAGTCGGGTAATCGCTCCATTTTTTGATTTAAAAAACGGCTAAACCAAGTTTTTAGTGAGTGTCTTTGAAAAGATAACCCCTGGAGAAAGCTGGAAGAAATAAGTCGTGTCTCAATACTTTACCAATTTTTTGCACGCATTAGTTTAGCCATTATTCAGCTATAATATTTATATCTGCCATATTTTGGCCTTTGTGGGTAAAGAAATAACTAGAAATATAGCCAAATTATTAAGTGCGCAAAATTTAAATGGATTAAGAGCTTAAATTTCCTTTAAGAAAAATATTTAATTTACAAAAATAATGTTATACCTTTCTATGTCTAAATA